GTACAGGAGTCATGAAGAAATCTACCGACAATGACACCAGAAGGAGATCTCATCGTATGACCACAAGATCCTCGAGAATCCAGAATCCCATCACCATCCCCCCCCCACCTCCATCCCTGATCCCTACAAGACAGAAGACACAGAAGATTCTAGAAGTCACCAAGAAGATGATGGAGCTGCTGACAGGAGAGGTGAGCGGTGCCGGGAATTCTGGGACATTCTCCAGTAACAGACAAGGGATGTGTCTGGATGGTGACTGTATCATTGTGTGTGTCAGGTTCCTATAAGGTGTCAGGGTGTCACTGTCTATTTCTCCATGGAGGAGTGGGAGTATTTAGAAGGACACAAGGATCTCTACAAGGACGTCATGATGGACAATCAGCCGCCCCTCACATCACCGGGTAAGAGGAGACTTTATTGTAAAGGAGAGAGCAGTACGGAGGATCCACCTAGATCCCCCATCATCTGATAAACACATAGAAACAATGGATTCAGTCAGTGTGTGTGTTTCCTACAGATGGATCCAGTCATGGGAACCCACCAGAGAGATGTCCCCGTCCTCTGTATTCCCGGGATTCCACACAGGAAGGTCACACCATCCCTCACCATCATCAGGTAGATGATGACAATTATTGGTAGTTGTGATTTATACACAGCATGTTTGTTACAATGAATGTTTTATTATATCTTTCAGAGTGGAATCCTCGGGGATGATAATATTGATGTTAAAGAAGAGTATAAAGAGGAGGATGAGGAGTATGGAGTGATGGAGGAGTTTTCAGAAGGACACAAGGATATGATGGAGCCACCTAATACCAGGAACCCACCAGAGAGATGTCCCCGTCCTCTGTATTCCCGGGATTCCACACAGGAAGGTCACACCATCCCTCACTATTACAAGGTTGGTGGGATGGAGAATCTAGAACATGGACTTGTAGAGACTATGGGCTCCAATCACAAAGCGGTATCTTCCCGTATCCCAGTATGTAGTAAGATGCTGCATTCTGTTTTTTAGTAGTGAATCCTGCGGGTAATTTACCACTGGTGTCCATAGCAACACTTGTAAATAGCTTGTTGTTAAGGAGAGGGCAGCCGCCAGTGTCCCCAACAACCAGTAAACAAGGAGCGGACGGCCGCCAAGTTCCCCGCTGACAGCTGTGACAGGTCTGGTATGGATTTTGAGGGGAACCCCGATGCCAAAATAATAAAAATAAAAGGCGTGGTTTCCCCTCCAAAATCAATACCAGACCCTTAGTGAGTGCCCACCTTCCTCCTGAACCATACCAGGCCACATATCCCTCAACATGGGTGGGTGCTTCAGGGCAGGGGCACTCTATCCTCCCAAAAGCACCTTGTCCCCATGGCGATGGGGACAAGGGTCCTTCCCCACAACCCTGGGCAGTGGTTGTGGGGGGGGCTTATTGGAATCTGGAAGCCACCTTTAACATGGAGGCCCCCAGATCCCGGCCCCCCCACAATGTGAATGAGTATAGAGTACATAGTACCCCTATTCATTCACCAAAAAAAAAGTAGTTTAAAAAAAAACACTGGAAGTAATTTTTGACAAAACAAAAATAAAGAACAATATCCCCCTGATGTAGATCCATCGATGATCCAATCACGATACTCGCTGTCATTGCCTTCTTGTGACATCACCAATACAACAACATGCCCCACCATCAGTGACGTCACCAATACAACATGCCCCGTCAGTGACGTCACCAATACAACATGCCCCAGTGACGTCAGTGGTCAGTGACGTCACCAATACAACATGCCCCGGTCAGTGACGTCACCAATACAACATGCCCCGGTCAGTGACGTCACCAATACAACATGCCCCCCGGTCAGTGACATCAATACAACATGCCCCGGTGTGACACCAATACAACATGCCCCGGTCAGTGACGTCACCGTGGCACCGTGGCACCGTCCCTTAGTATATTTAGTGGCAGGAGGCAGCAGAGCTGTCAGACAGAGGGGAGTCTTCATTGGGAGCGGAGCTTTTCTTTCCGAGTCAGCGGTGACAGCGAGCATCGTGATTGATGATGGATCTACACCGGGGGGACATTTTGCTTTAGTTTTGCTTTTTTAATAAAGGACTTGTCAAAAACTGCCTGCTGTCTATTTAACAGAATACTTTTTTGGGGTGAATAATTAGGGGTACCATGTACCCCATACTCATTCACATGGGGTGAGGGATCTGAGGGCCCCCTTGTTACATTTTGTAAGTCCTCTGCCTGCAAACCCCCACAGCCACTAGCCTGGGTTGTGGGGAAGAGTCCCTTGTCCCCATCAACATGGACAAGGTGCTCTGGGGGAGCAAAGCCCCCCCTGCCCCAGAGCATCCACTCCATGTTAAGGGCACGTGGCCTGGTATGTTTCAGGAGGGGGGGTCGCTTGCTCATCCCCCCCTTTCCTGACCTGCCAGCAGCATGCTCAGATAGGGGTCTGGTATGTATTTCTTTCATTTTGGCAAGGGGTCCCCTCAAAATCCATACCAGACCCCAGGGGGGGACCCTACAACATTTTCTTAATATTTTGTTGCCGGTAATTTTTTTTTTTTTTTTTTTTTTTTATCGGTTGGTTAGGACGCAGCGGCCGCTCGCTCCCTAACAACCATGTTGTTTACTGGTTGTTAAGGATGCCAGCGGCCGCCCACTCTTTACCAAGCAGTACACATTTCCTGAATGCCGCATGTCTCCCCTGTTCATGCGGTATTTACTGAGCGTGTTCAGTGTTTGTGGTCAATACCGCAACACGGGATAGGAAATGGACAGTTTCAGGATGGCATGCGGTATTTAGGGGAAATGTACCGACATATCACATGTGATCTGCTTCTGTGAAGGGAGACAATGTGTGGATTTTGTGTGTGATGTCACAATCATAAATCTTACATTTTACAGATGATATTTTCTCTCATTTCCTTGATTAGAGTGGAGATCCAATCGATATAGAATTTGAGGTGAAAGCAGAAGAAGAAGAGGCGTATGTGAGGGATGATCAGCAGTCTATGGAGGAGGATGGAATAACGGGGACATTTATAGAGGAGGACACTCCTACAGAGATCAGCACAGGTGGGTCATGAACACTAAATCCATTCCTCCACCCATACTGCTCACTGATTGGTCCAGAGTAGGGCGGGGACTGGGATATGCCTGTAATCCCCTGGCATATCAGCCTGTAATCCCCTGGTCACTTTCCTGAGCTGTGTTCCCCGTCCTGTATTCCTGGATTTCTCTCGGATAATCTTCCTTCTCTGTGCTGCAGACACAATTTATGTATCTAGACTGGATTTATGGAGGTTCTGGGGTTCAGCTGGCAGAAAAATGTTAAGTTTTCACCATAAGCATACTAGACCTAGGCACCTGGGGTGTGTGTCTTGGGTGTCTTCTTCCCCATGTCCAGATCTAGTAAGATCTCTGACAGAACATTTCTCCCAGGGTTCCTTGCTCTGTGGTCTGCTGGCTGTGCCGGGGTGGAGGGATATGTCTGTAGTGTCTCAGACCCAAGTCACTGAGTGCAGTCTCAGGAGATGGGAGGCAGCGGTGTGGGATCTCTGCAACTTGTCTACAGTAAACATTTAATGTTCCACTGATTACTTAATACCAATATTATGAGTCCTGACCCTTACACTGTATAATTTATATTGTACATTACATACTCCTGACCCTTACACTATATATAGTTGTACATTACATACTCCTGACCCCTGCACTATATACTCTATGTATGTTGTACATTACATACTCCTGACCCCTGCACTATATACTCTATGTTGTACATTACATACTCCTGACCCCTGCACTATATACTCTATGTTGTACATTACATACTCCTGACCCCTGCACTATATACTCTATGTTGTACATTACATACTCCTGACCCCTGCACTATATACTCTGTTGTACATTACATACTCCTGACCCTCCCCCACTGCTATATATATATACATAATATGGATTATCTTTTGTTCCCCCATTTTCTCCCAGCTGGACATTTTATATCGGATGATGTGATTGGAGCACAGACTTTTACATGGTGATAATAATGTGATAACATCCTCCAACTTTGGACCCTTAAACAGAAAGTGATAATGGGGGAGGAGTCAATACCCCAATGATGGTGGTCTTCAGGATCAGTCCAGTCTTCATCTTGGTTGTTCTCTCCCCCATCCTCACTCTCTGACCTCTGGTGGGGCTCAGCCCGCTGTTCTTCATGACTAAAAATCATGGACTAAATAAGGAAGTGCAGTACTTCTTGTGTTGGGAAGATGGCGATGAGTGATAGAGGGGGTGGGGACCCTCGTCCTATAATCCCCTCATCACTGTCCCTCCTATAAAAGACAGTTCTGGTTGTTTCCTCACTCTCTGACTAAGGTCCATGAATAAAGAAATGACCTGGTAGGAGATCAGAGGAGCCATTTCCTATTCCCTTGAGGGTGGAATTGTGCTCCTCAGAGAAGCTGCCTGATGTGGGCGGAGTCCTGGTTTGGGGGAACCAATCAGCTCCTGTCTAGTAATCCTCTTTGTCTTTGTATTTTAGTCCATGGCCGGGAGATGAGGAAAACCTCCGAGGATTGTCTCACTTTGTCTCCAGACTGGAAAGTAGAAGATGAGGACATCACACAGTATAGTCCAGGAAAAACCCGGCTCCCTCCAATGTCCATCCGGCACCACCCAGTGTAGATGGACCATCGGATTCCTCGTATCCTGAGGAATCTCAGACTGTGCGGGACCAGGCCGGCCTTCCAACAGGGAAGAGGTTCTCCTGTCCTGAGTGCGGGAAATGTTTTCCGTTCTAAACCTATCTTAATAGGCATCAAAGATCTCACACGGGGGAGAAGCCATATTCTTGTCCTGAGTGCCGGGAAATGTTTTTCAGAGAAGTCCATTCTTCAAACACATCAGAGATCTCACACAGGGGAGAAGCCGTATTCTTGTCTGAGTGCGGGAAATGTTTTTCAGTGAAGTCCAATCTTTTTACATCAGAGATCTCACACAGGGGAGAAGCCGTATTCCTGTCCTGAGTGCGGGAAATGTTTTTCAAAAAGTCCATCTTTACACACATCAAAGATCTCACACAGGGAGAAGCCGTATTCCTGTCCTGAGTGCGGGAAATGTTTTTCAGAGAAGTCCAATCTTTACAGACATCAGAGATCTCCTGAGTGCTGGAAATGTTTTTTTACTAAAAGTCCAAAAAATCTTTACAGACATCAGAGATCTCACACAGGGGGAGAAGCCATATTCCTGTCCTGAGTGCGGGAAATGTTTTTCAGTGAAGTCCAGTCTTTACACACATCAGAGATCTCACACAGGGCGGAGAAGCCGTATTCCTGTCCTGAGTGCGGGAAATATGTTTTACAAGTAAGTCCCAATCTTTGCACACACAACCAGAGATCTCATCACACAGGGGAGAAGCCGTATTCCTGTCCTGAGTGTGGGAAGATATTTTACAAGGAAGGTCCCTAATCTTTACAAAACATCAGAGGTCTCACACGGGGAAGAATCCACTCTTTCCCTTTTCCTGTCCTGAGTGAGGGAAATGTTCCTCACTGAAGTCCTGTCTTCCCTGTACATATCAGGGGTCCCACACAACCCTGGAGGTGTATTAGTGCCTTGAGTGCGGAAAAAATGTCCTTCTAGATGAATTGTTGCTGACATCCCAGCTCTCATGTTGGGAAGAAGCACACACCCTGATATACAAACCTCAGATAGTACTCCATGGCTGAATCTTCATCATAGGAAGAAACAGTTGATAAGGAGATGAGAGGCCACCAAAGACATGGATGAAGTGCAGTAAATGTGGGGGCGTGCAGAGTGGTCAGTAGATCCTGGGAATGAAGGACACAACATCAGCCCTTCTTGGGTGTCGGAGTTGCGTTTCCTGATAATAATATTGATGTTAGAAGAGGACTAAAAAATGTCCGTTGATTATCTGATCCTTTCCTAATTTATGACGCTAGTTTGGAATGGTGCTGCACATTGGAAGAGACTTCACGCTGACACACATGTTCAGTCTATGCATACTTTCCAGTTTATTATAAATGAGAAAGTGAACTTTATATGCAGAATGATGCGAGAGTCATGTGAGGACAGCATCAGAGTCATGTGAGGACGCATCAGAGGTCATGTGAGACAGCATCAGTGTCATGTGAGGACAGGCCTCAGAGTCATGTGACTCGACAGCATCAGAGTCATGTGAGGACAGCATCAGATTCATGTGAGACAGCATCGGTCATGG